CATTTGGATGAGCTGTTGTCTTAAAAATGTGTAAACAACAAGAATTGGAATTGTTTTTAGGAGATATAAATATTAATATTCTTTCTGAGGATACATACCTTGGTGGTTACAGAATATCTGAATTGTTTGCTGAGGAAAGGTTACTGTTGTGCAAACCTACTAAGTAGTACGAAGAGTGAATTTTGGTCGTGACGCCATCTAAGACTAGGATTCAGCACTAAACATATTTTTGCTGTAAAAGTACTGGCCGTCTAATAGGCCGGCCAAAAATCAGTTTGTTGGGATAACCTAACTACTTACGTACTACTTCTACTTTGCCTAGAGGCACTAAACTTGGGTTTCTTTGCTCTCCTAGCAACACTGATGAGATATCTGATAGATCAAAACGCGTCTGTGGATGGAAAAGCGAAGAAAATTAACCTAAAATTCTCACATCATTATTATTATTGAAATTGAAATTTTCTCACAGAATTGTGGTTTGAAGTTGATGTGAAGGGCTATGCCAAGTCACTGCAAATACTATTATTATTAAATTGAATTGAAGAATGATCTGACAATATGGCATGTTTTTAAGATGACTGATTTCTGAAAGTTTTTGTGTATGTTAGTGTTGAGTCATAGCTGTTTCAGGTGTGATTTGAATATTTTGTGTGTGAGGCCTGTTACTGACCCAATCAGGGGGATTATAGTAACTTTTTCCTGCTTCCAGAGTCTCTTGATTCGATTGCTAGGTCTGTGTATTTACAGATTTTTTCATTGTTCTTTGTCTGGATGTTTTTATCACTGACTATGTCAATTAGGTATGTGATTTTTTCTCTTTTTAACTGAAAGGTGATATCTGGTCTATTGGCGGATATTGTTTTTTCTGTCTGAATATTGATATCCCAGTATAGTTTGAAATCCTTGCTTTCGAGTATAGACGATGGTGTGTATTTGTAGTATGGCTCTGTGTTTTCTATTAGTTTGTGGCCAGTGCTTGGTGAATTACTTTTGCTGCTGCGTTATGTCTTGCTGTGTATTCTGGGCCAGCTAGGAACTTGCATCCCTTTGTAATATGCTCAATTGTTTCCTTTTGGAGGTGGCATTTCCTGCATGTATCATCTGCTGTAGCCGGGCCTTTGATGATATATTTCTGATAATTTCTGGTTGCTATGACCTTATCTTGGATCGCGAGCAGAAATCCTTCCGTTTCGGGAAAGAGCTGTCCATGCAGAATCTTTTCTGACCAGGTGTTCATTTTCCTCTGTTGCAATTGCGTGTCGTTGTATATGTCTATTGGATGTCTTGTTTGGGATAGGTTGAGAGCTGTATAGTTTTTATTTGCTATGTGGTCCAGTCTGTCTAGCATAGAAGAATCTTCTAAGTGTTTGTATTTGCCTTGCGTGTAGTGATGTTACGTCTACAATTCCTCTTCCTTCTTCATTCCTTTTGATTATTAGCCTTTCCTTGCATGAATTGGGGTGAGACTTTCTGTGTTTGGTAAGTTCAGAGCGCAAGAGGATGTTAATGTTTTCCAGGTCAGTTTCGGACCACTTGATGATACCGAATGAGTATGTAAGAGTAGGAATGGCGTATGTGCTTAGGGCCTTAGTGAGATTTCTGGAATTTAATTTACTTTTTAATAGCCTGATGAGTCTATTTCTGGATTCAGTTTTAAGCTCTATTTTGATGTGAGTATGATTGAGTTTGGTACTCTGATGGAATCCTATGTTTCATTCCTGAGCATATTTTCTAGTGTTTCACTATCGACGGTTTGGACATCATGATGTTTTTTCCACTAGCCTTTGTTTATGTGGAGTACCCTATTCACTTTTCCCAAACTCCATACAGACGAGGTAAATCTAATATATAAAATTCTCATGTCACAGTTTTAGTTACCTTCGTCCTCCGAAACGGCTTTATCGATTTTTATGAAATTTTATGTGTATATTGGGTAGGTCTGAGAATAGGTTTTAAGCTATTTTTTATACCCCTAAGTGATAAGAGTGGTCCACCCCGAAATTTTTTAATTTTTTCTTGCTCCTCACCACTACATAACTAAACTTATTTTTGTTTGTTCCATTCAACCGACGTAACAGTATTATCTTATAGCATTTTCGGCTTTACTGCTCCCAGGGGTCTTATTCTGTAAAGAGCGAGCCGTTCGATTCGGTAGACTTTCTTCGATTGTGACGTCATTTTCGGTATTTTCCGTATAGCTTCCGCGCTAGCAAACCGAAAATGATGTCACAATCGAAAAAATTCTACCGAATCGAACGGTTCGTTTTTACAGAATGAGGCCCCAGAGCGCTCTCTATTTGGGCGGTGACGTCACAGATCTCTGCGGAAGTGCTCCGAGAGCGATTATGATCCAAACGAGGCACCCTATTTGAAATCAATAGCCAAATGATGTAAAATTTTAATTTTAGGTGATTTCTGATCCAGAGAGTAAACATTAGTTTCCAAGGCCAAATTCACCATTGAAAAAAACTGAATTTAATTTATCTACTAGATACGTTAACACAACATTTAATAGGTATTTAATAATTCATAGGCGGTACGAAGTTCGCCGGTTTAGCTAGTGTTTCTATAATTTTGAGGAGGCTTTTCAACTGTATTTCCGTGGCCGCGTAGAGTTTGATGTAATCCATATACAGTAAGTGGTTTATTTGGTGTTGGTTTTCTTTCTTGTGTCTGAGTTGAAAACCGTGCTTCGTATTGTTAAATGTATTAGAGAGTGGATTAAGACAGAGGCAGAACCATAGAGCGCTAAGTGAATCGCCTTGGAAAATACCACGTCTGACATGGAGTTCTTCAGTTTGGATGTATTCGGTTTCTGTATTTGGTCGGATTTGGGTTTTCGAGGATTTCATGATTTTTACAAGAAACTCTCAGAGATTCTTGTTGATTTTGTAGATTTCAAGAACTTTCATCAGCCAGCTATGGGGTAGGGAGTCAAAGGCCTTTTTATAATCTATGTACCCGATTTGGAGATTTCTATTATCTTTTCTAGTTTGTCCCATGACGACACTATCTATATAAGCTGCTCCTTATAGCCCTGGCTGTTTTTCCTACAGCCCTTCTATTCTTCTGTTAGTATGTTGTTAATTGTGAGGTGATGTTCGATTTTCTAGCAGACTGTAGCTGTGATGATCTTATATAGCGTTGGAAGACAAGTGATAGGTCTATAGTTTGAGGGGCTTTTAGTGTCCAAGTTTTTGGGTTTGATGTAGGTTATGCCTTGGGTTAGAAATCTGGGAAACCTCTGTGGCTCTTGGATGATTTTGTTTAATTTGCGTGTGAGAGCTTCATGTGTAGCTGTAAACTGTTTATACCAGAAGTTTTGAATATTGTCTATGCCAGGGCATTTCCAGTTGTGTGTGTATTTGATTGTATTTGTGATTTCTTCTGTTGTAAGTATGAAATCTGGTTGTTCTGGTATATGTTTGTGTCTTTCTTCTTCGGTTTTAATCCAGGTGTTGTTGTTGTTGTGCTGTTTTAATTCTGACCACATGCTCTTCCAGTAATTGGTTAGTTCTTGTTTGTCTGGTGGTTCTACTATTCTTGCTTCTTGGCTGGACATGGTTCTTCGGTAGAATTGCTTCTCATTTCTTAGGAAGAGGTTGTTAGTGTCTTTCCTTTCGTTTGACTCTTTGTATCTCCGGAGTCTTGACGCATATACAGATAATTTTTGCTTATGCGTATCAAGGATTTCTGGCATTGTTTGGGTGGGGTATTTTGACTTTATTTTCATTACTCTCTGTGTAACATGTTTTGAGGTATTCCCGTTTGTGAACTGGGTAAAGTGCTTTGGATCTTTCCTGATTTTGTTGATTTTATTTTCCAGTCTTATTTGCCATTTAAAAATAGGTTTTGTTTTCTTGGGACTTAGTTGTTGTTGTGGCAATCTTTGATTATTCTGTGCGATTGAGGTGATAGCTGCTGAGTAGATTATTGTATGGATATTTTCAATTGTATTTGCGTTTGTTATGTAGGTACATACTGTGGTATTACATCTTTCTTGATTGTATAAAGAATTTGTAGTGTGTTCTGCTTGAGACTATCCGAGGAATTTGTTTTCTCATTGTAGGGTCAGAGCCTGACCATTGACTTAAGCGTATTTCCATTTCTCCAATATTATTATTATTATTTCTATTATTATTATATACACTTTTCTAGTCAAATTTTTGGCATTAGAAGCGCTGAGAATAGAATTTTTGTGTTTTTCTTATTTGAATCTCAGCTCTAGTAGAGCTGGGAATGAGATTTTTACAATTTCTCAATCTTATAGGTACATTGAAAACATGCTACTCCATTTGTGACACCAAATGGAATTCTTGTGATACAAGTTGTTACATGCTTCAAAACCAGTCTGAATTTGCTCACTTTCCAAAATTGTAAATTCGTGAGTCTATAGAACTAAAATATTCATACATATTGCAAAACTTGACTGATCTATCAATATTAGGTAGTGAATATGCTCTAATAAAGTGAACCTGTTGATTGTGAACGAATAATCAACAACCATGCATTTTCATAAGTTTTTTTATTTTCGGCTCTTGAATCTTATCAATATTTATTCCTTGCTCACCTTACCTTAGAATTTAAATTTTCTAAATGATTTCGTTTGGAAGAAATCGAACATTCAAGAGCCTGGGAATCGAGAAAATGTGAAATAAAACGAAAAAATTATCATAAAAGTTTTTTTTTTTTTCTTTGGTTTATTTTCATAAGTCTTTTTATTCTCGGCTCTTGAATTTTCTTAATAATTATTCCTGGTCCACCAAGCTTCGAATCTAGCTTTTTCAGGATTAGTTTCCTTACCTATGGCAATCTTAAGTGAATTATTCAGGTCCATGTATGCGTGTGCCATCGTCTTTTAAGAATGAAAACTGGATTTTCCATGAAGGTTCTTGAACTTGGGAAAATTGTTTATGGTTCCTGAATTTTTCTTCAATAAATTGCTGTTTTACTTGCCGTTTTTAACTATGAAATTATTAACGAAAAATTTATTTTTATAGGCCCAAATATTTGCAGTATAAGTACCTCTACGATTACAGACGAAACTACTACGATGACGTTATGGAAGTTATAGAAAGTAGACGAAAAGGTAAATTTAGTCTACGAAAGGGAAACTAAACGATATAAATTTGAAAGGATTATCGAGACACATACCTATAAATTTATTTGTGGTTTGACTATAATAATATTCAACACAATATTTTCTTTGCAATTAACTAACCATGATCACGCCTCCAATCCAATGAAGCAGAATATTTCAACTTAAATTCAGTGCCAAAAAGCAAAAACTACCCCAGAATGAAAAAAACAATGAATTGATTATCGCCTAATTTTCTTTTGATTTTATTTATTTCAAAATGTACCTAATTTGAAACAATATAATTTTCAGGCTACAAACGTGACATTCCAAGACCGCAAACCTGGGCGGAAAGGGTCCTGAGAACCTACAACAACCCGGTCTACAAACTGCAAACTTTCGACAGGTTCCTGGAAGATGTCAAACTGGTCACTAGGTCAGAAGTCAGCGGACGGATCTACACTAAACAATCGATCGAGAATTTCAATAGGAGATACACAACTAAAATAAATTATTAATGATTTTAATATTGTGAGAAATGAATAATTATTAAAACAAAGTAACGAAGTCAAGTGTTGCCTTTATTAACGCCCGCCTGATGATCGGATTAAACCGTGTCAATCACGACACTAAATCGCTTTTAAATTGGTTCGTTAGCTCGAAAAAACAGTAACTATAAGTGAACAAAAAAGACATTATTGCAAATCAAAGTTAACAAGAAAACGAACAAACATTAAGTACCTGTCACTTTACATTTTTTTCCAATGTTTTGCTCTACATTTCCTACCTTCAGCGCGGCCTTTAGAGAACCCATCGAGGTACCATTCTAAAGATAACCATGCTATAACACTGAAATAAATATAATGATGCTATGAGACTGGTTCAACGCAGTTTGTGAGAATTTTTCTGAATTTGAAATATGTAACTTTGTATTTTGAAACTTATTATCTCAAAGTCAATCATGTACCTGTATACGTTCCTATGCGGATTATGGAGAATCTAATCCTTTTTTATTAAGTGTGTATATCATTAAAGATAATTTGTTACAAATTGACAAAACCGTGAGAAAATATTTGAGACGATGTCCATCTCGGGGAAAAAAAAAATTAATAATGATAATTTTTTCATTGAAAGTTTTTTCAAACATTGATTATTGACATTTGAATAAAACTATAAAAAATAGAGAAAAATTCTATACTTTCTTGAGAAAGAAATCCTAAAAGTTCCATCAGTTGATGTTAAAATTTTAATCAAATCTTCAGCGTTAGTTTTGGTTCAAATTTGCTTTTTCCTTCTCATTTGACTTAGTTTCGTGCAAGTTTGCTGTTGTATTTAGAGTTAAAAAAATCCCTAAACTTACAGAAAATAGCCAAATAACAATAAGGAATATCCTCTTTGATGTATTTAGTTTAGTAGCTTTTAGGCTTCGAACCTAGTAGTGCAAACCCCCAGCCATAAACACCCACGGCAAACCCCGAAAGGGAAAACCTAAAGGAGATTGCTTCGGACCTGCGCAAGCTGGATCTATAGAAAAAGCGCATGTCAGGTGCGATATGCCGCAAGCAGGCTTTAGCTGCTATAAAGATGAGGGGGTCGTATTAAACCCAGAAAACAGCGGGCAAATAGGAAACCGGAGAGGGCGGGCTAGTGTGAAGGCTGAAAAACCACCAAGAAGCCATAAACAGGCAGAGAGAGAGCTGACATTCCCTACTCAAACAAACTAAGGCGCTCAGATCATAGCACCCCATCTTCAACCAGGACACAACAGGCCAAAAAGAGCAAGTGTAATCTGAAGGACAGACCCAGTACCTGTGACCCTGGACAAAGTCCAGAGGAGAAAATCACTCCCGAGCAGTCCAAGCTTATCCACCTGGCCCTAACCCAAGAGATTTGAAAATCCTCATCGGGTAAAGGGCCACAGATAACAAACAGCCACTTTCCAGGGGGGTGCTCTTCGTGATTTGTGCCAACCCGGAGTCCAAGTCTTGGCCCTTGGCTCCTGAAAACAGTACCCATACTGAAACCATGGAAGGCAGCAGCCCTTAAGGTTGATGACGCCAAAAATGTGACCAAAACTGCCAGGGTTCTACTGTGGATCCCAACAGACGTCCTGGAGGAAAAGGAGCCTACTAAGATCTTCGAACTCGTTAAGATCTGGAACCGAGATCTTAACACGGAGGAGTGGAGGATAGTAGGCAGCCGAGCTGAAAAGAACGGCACTACCCTTGTTCTTGCCGTGGATGAGAACGGCTTGAAGACTTGGAGAAGAAATAAGGCTTCAAAGCCTTCCTAGCTAAGTCTGCTTCAAGGCGACAAAACAACACAAAGGCGCTGCAGAAGCGGCGGGTGCTTCAAGCAAGCCTGCAGCATAATAAGGCGGCCACAGCCATCTTTTGCAGGACCCTTCTCTCTGAGAATATCGACGTAGCGATGATCAAAGAACCCTGGCTATTCAGTATTCAGGAGAAGAGTTGGAGGTCTAGGCGAAGCCAGACGTAAGATTATTTATATTCATAACTCCAACGACGTTAGAACTTTGCATATTCTTTAAAAACGAAGTGCATTCCTTGAAACTAACCGATCTCTGTTTTAGGGACCAAGCGGCTGTTAGGCTGGAACTAAATATGGCAAGTGCAAGGTTCGAAGCCGTCCTTGCTTCAACCTACCCTACCAAATGACTCCATCCAACCACCACCATCCAACGAACTTTGCACGCTGGAGCAATACTAAAGGCAATCAAACCTGCAGATGATAGTGGGGATGGATGCAAACGCATACCACACTGTGTGGGGTAGCAGCGACATCAACATTAGAAGTGAGTGACTAATTAGACTAGGTAGGTACATCATTTCAAGAAATTTGGAAATTTTCAATAGGGATAATGAGCCTACTAGCAAAACTCCAGTGAAACAAAGAACTTTCAGATCTCAGGACGAAAACACGCAAGCTGTACAACAGAGCGAAAAGGGTGGGACGACTACCACGATACCCTAACCATGTATAATAGTCAGTTCCGGAAGGCAAAAATCGAATCATGGAGGAAATACTGCCAAGAGGTTGAAAGCTACCTTGGTGCAGCGAGACTCCAAAAAATTCTGTCCAAGGATCCCTTGAATCCAGGACCCCTAAAAACCCAAATGGCACCTACACAGATCCTGGAAGAGAGACTCTGCAGATTCTACTGCACACTCACCTCCCATAATCAGTCGAAATCATAACAGAAAGAAACTTACCAATTCATAGTAATCACAAAACCCAGACTACTAAAGAGAACTGGGACACAGCAAAAGAGATCATCATCAAGCTAGCCTAGCCACAAAATATATACCCCAAACATGGAGAAAGGCCAGAATGGTCTTTATACCAAAACCTGGGAAAGACTTCTCGCAGGCAAAAGCGTTTAGACCAATTAATTATCGTCCTTTATTATGGAGACGATTGAAAAACTCATTGATAAACATGCCAGGGAAACTTCTCTCGAAGAAAAGCCACTACACCAAAACCAACATGCCTACCTATTGCGGGTAAATCTTGCGAAACGGCCCTACACCAACTGGTGGCAAGAATAGAGCGTGCAAATGATAAAAAGGAGGTAGCCTTTGCAGCATTCCACGACATAGAAGGGGCCCTTGACCGTACCTCATTTGAATTTATAAACACTGCTTGGTCCAGACACAGAATCACACACACCATCAGCAGATGGATTGATAACATGCTTCGTGGAAGACAAGTTCAGGCTACTCTAAATAATGATACAATGGAGATCTCCGTATCAAAAGGCTGTAGCGCTAGTTTGGTTTTTCCGGACGGTTAATGGGTTTTCGGAAAACTCGGGCGCCACCCTTAGAATTATAGTGGTTAAAAACCAACATGCCTATCAATTGGGTAAATCTTGCGAAACGGCCCTACACCATCTGGTGGCAAGAATAGAGAGTGCAAATGATAAAAAGGAGGTAGCCCTTGCAGCATTCCTCGACATAAAAGGGGCCTTTGACCGTACCTCACTGCTTGGTCCAGACACAGAGTCACACACACCATCAGCAGATGGATTGATAACATGCTTCGTGGAAGACAAGTTCAGGCTACTCTAAATAATGATACAATGAAGATCTCGGTATCAAAAGGCTGTAGCGCTACTTTGGTTTTTCCAGTCGGTTAATGGGTTTTCGGAAAACTCGGGCGCCACAATTAGGATTATAGTGGTTAGGGGCCCACGTGCACTAGGTAACTTTTAAACAGTGGAGACGGAAAACCAGAGGTCAATATGCACATCCCCAAAATGAAACACAGAAATGTAACTACCTAGTGCACGCGGTGCCCGAGTTTTCCGAAAACCCTTTAACCGCCCGGAAAAACCAAAGTAGCGCTACAAATTTGGCGCCCGAGCAGGGACCGTTCTGCATGTCAATGATATCAGCTTATGACCGAGGTAATTACGTCTTTAGTTCCCGTTTCCACCGAGAGGCCCTTTGTTTTGGCGACGCCCATAGGTCTGACCGTTACCGTACCGTTTTTTATGTGAATGCACGACCGCATAGCGGCGGAATGAATGAACCGCTCCTATTGGATCGTTCGGCGCATGTCTTATCATCCGCCCCATGAGTTGAGGGTCCCAACCAATGCCGTCCTACCGTGGAAAAGAGTTCCTGTAAACCGTACCGCATTGGACCGGAAGCCTTCGTTTTTAGGAAGTATTGATAAGCGCATGCGCATAACAAAATCTGATTTTATTTTTCCGTCTTAAAACTTTTTCTATTGATGTGATTTCACAGAAACCGGCTTCTCCGTTATCATTTTCACGGCAATTTTCACTGCACTTGTGTGAATTGTGTCATACCATCTTTCTGCCTAAAACAAGGTCACGCGTAAAATATTATTTAAATTATTTATCATGTAGAATTAATCCGGCCGAAGTAATTGACTTAGAACCGCGGTAGTAATCATTAAAATACCCGGAAAATTATGTAGCTTCGTTACAAGGCTGCCCACAGGGTGGGGACCTGGTCGTAGACGAACTCCTAGAAGACCTTAATAACAGAAATATTTATACCCAGGGTTACTCAGATGATGTAGTAACCGTAGTCATGAGGAGAAACCTACAAACTACTTCTGCGAAAATGAAAAGAGCGCTTAAAATCGTGGAAGACTGGGTCAAAGGGGCAAACTTGAGTGTCAACCCTGAGCAAACAGCTATAATCCCCTTCACGAAAAGCAGAAAACTGGACGATCTAGTCCCTCCCACTTTCTTTCGAAAGCAATTACAATTCATCCGGAAAGGAATTATCCTGGATGCAAAACTAACCTGGAACGCCCATATTGAATACGCCACCAAAAAAGGTAAAAGGGCGCTTATGGGCACCAAAAGAGAAATGGGAAAAACATGGGGATTTTTATCCCACAGTATTGTCTCTATGATCTATACAAAAGTGGCAAGACCCAAAATAACCTACGGATCAATAGTCTGGTGGCCAGAGGTAGAACAGAGCAAAGCAATAATGGAGCTATCCAAACTTCAAAGACTGGCTTGCTTCTGTATAATGGGTCCAACGAGAAGCACCTCCACTGCTGCTATGGAAACC